TTTTTTTTCAGACTTAGAAAAGACAATGGTGACTATCTAGATTCTCAATATTGTGGTAATCCCAAAATGTCAGAATTGGACTGACAGTATAGCCATCTGCTCAGAGCCACTGCACATAATCTAGTTCACCAAGAATAGCTTTCAGCAGAATGCTTGATTTGATTGTCCTCCTTTATAATATCTCTGTGCCATTGGCATTTTTTTCTTAAACTAGTTTTGTGTTAGTGGTCTTCTTCAGACAACTAAATCAATCTAGTATGTATACATAGTCAAAATACAAGACTTTTCTTACATGCAGAAGTAGAATGCTTATAGACCCATTCCTTTCAAAATATATGAGCCTAAATATGTATAATACACACAAGTATAGAGAGATAGACACATGCAATACTTTTATATTATAGTACAAACTTTAGTTTAGGCTTATATTAGTTACTGTATTATACATTCCTTTTGATAATATGTAGAATATATACCTTTCTATTACTATTTTAAACTTTTCATCTCTTATTTTCCCTCAATGATATCATTTTCAAACTCAAGTTCTGAAGTATCTTTACTTTAGTTGTCAATATTTAACAGTGTTAAAAAGTTGCTTTAATTGCATCATATAAATTTTTATTTTACTTTCAATATTTCAAAAATAAACTAAATATTATGGATTTGCTGGATTATTTCTCTTATATGAGTTAGATATTTATTCATATCATTTTCATTTAGTACTTATTCCTTTAAGATAAGCCTCTAAAACCATCATTGACAGAAGATTCAATATGTTCAACTCTAAGTGAACAACTTCCTTTGTGGTATTCAGCTTTGCAGAATTCTCACATGTTGGAGAACTGTAGAAACAGCAAGGATTATTTTTACTGAAGAGTTCAGTACTTGCTTTAAGAAACCTCTATGGGGATTTGATGCTATGTACTTTGTTTTAATGTTTAACATTAAAGCAAGGTGGTTGAAGAGATAGCTGTTTCAGACCTTCCTTAAGATGACAAATTGCTAGCAAGCGTGGATCCCATTTGAATTGATGTTGTAAAAAAAGAAAATATTTCACACAGCTTTACTGTATTTTGGAATGCTTTAATTTCCTGAATAACATTGTTATTGTTAGTGGAGACTTTTCTTCAAGGATAATCACCTACTTCTCTGCAATGAACATTATCCTATAGATATTGTATACCGTTTTTATTGGTTTAAAAGTTTTCATTTCAAAAATGTAATGCCATTTATAGCATATCATTCCTCACTTCAAGGTCTGTTTGATCTTTTTAATCATGGAATTGATTTTCAAAGCAATACAGGTTAAACAAGCTGGCGATGACTTTGTTGAATCATCTATTCTTGACGCGGTACAGAGGGTTGACAGTGCAATTAACTCCACACGAAGACATTTGTTTTCACAGTAAGAATTAATATTATTTTGATTGCAAAAATTGTTTTCATTTCTGTTCTGCCCGGTTTTTATAATTTCCGAATACTATAACAGGTAGGATGTGTAAGATTGCCAGAATGCTTTTAGTTCTTGTGTACGTGCCACCCTCTGTTCTAGCCATCAATTTTTGATTCAGACTCCAAGAGACGGAAATTTTTCCCATGGAGTAAAAATGACATTAATGTATGCCACAGATCCATTGTAATAGTCTGACAAAAGATGTCAAGACAAAAAAATCTGGTATGTCTGCATTCACCAGATAATACAAGACCACTGCTCCTATAGCCTGTGGATTGAGAGTGATTTTCAAGATGAACACACTTAGTCAGATGCTGGTACCCCACAGGTAAAAACTTGGTTAAGGAAATTGGCATTTTGCTTCATTTTAATTGAACTGGAAAGTGATTAGATTTCTGAAACTTTTCAATCCCATAAATTTCTTTGTGTTGGCAACACTGAAATATGGTTAATACATTAACATTTTTAAGGAAAAAAACATGAGTATTGTTTTCATAATCATAGTATACATACAGTATTTTTAGTTGTTGATCAAAAAGGGACAGTTTAAAATTCCTTAATCAAACTCCTTGCATATCCACAAACAATATGGCTTATGGTCACAGACTCCTGTTTGAAAGCCATCCTGCCCATTTATATTTTTATTATTGTTCCTCATCTGTTACTTTGTGTCTGGGTAATCTTGGGCAAGTGACCTGACATCTTTGTATCTCACGTTTTTTTGCCTGTAAAATCGGGAAGTCAATAGAATCTGCTGTAGGAGTGTGCTTGCTTGTGTGCTTCAGTAGGAGCACTGAAAAATACAGATAAAATGCTTCAACATTACCTGGTACACACAGAGTGCTTTATTAAAGTGAGTTATTAGTATCATTACTATTAGTCTATGATCTCAAGTTGTTATGATTCAAGACAACAGAGGATGACATGTGCCTTGGTTGACCAAATCTCTAAAACAGTTTGCTTCGTAATCTTAGGGACTTTAATTGTATTTTTAACTTATTTCATTTCTTCAAATGTGCATAAACCACTATGGTATGCTGGTCAGCAGGCTTGGTACTTGGGATACAAAGATGAATAGGGCATTGTGTGGGGGAGCTTTCTGTCTTTATGAGAGAATATCGAAATAAAAGGAGAAAAGGTTTATTTTGGCTTATGATTTCAGAGATTTCATTCCATGGTTGCTTGACCCTGTCATTTTAGGCCTGGGGAAAAGCTGAGTATCACTGGTGGGTGTACATAGTAAAGAAAATCTGCTTACCTCACGATGGCTGGGAAATGAAAGAGAAAGAGGAAAGGGTCCCAATATACCCTTCAAGGTCATACCTCAATGACCTAACTTCCTCCCATTAGGCACCACTTCCTAAAATGTCTACCACCTCCCAATAGTGTCATTAGGTGGGGATCAAGCCTTCAACACATGAGGGTTTCAGCGACATTTAAGATCTGAATCATATCAGGCACCATTTCATCCCTAACCCAGTTCTTTCTTTAGTAGGGAAGACAACATGTCAGCAATTTAAGTACATCTTGCTGAGTACATGACAAACATCTGAAGGGATACAGAAGTAATAGAGAAGATGGAGTGATAGCTTGTCAGAGCCATCAGGGAGACTGTACCAATAGAGTGATGCCTGAGCAGGATTCTAAAAGCAAGGGGGAACTTTTAGACAGTTACATTTGGGGAAGGAGAAGACAGCAATTACCAAGATCCAAAAACTGAGAACGTGGTTCACTGTTTCAAAAGGTTTATTGAGTACCCTGGAACTCACACATGGACTTCTTATGTTTATCACTACCACCACAGATATTGCTTTTTATCAACAGATATTGTTTAAATCATTAATTTATTTAAAATATTGAGTTCAGCACTGTAACTGATACTTAGGATTCAGTGGTTAAAAAAGAAAAATAACCTACAGCTAGCCTGCAAAGTTCATATTCCAGTGGTGGATATTTTATTCTTCTTTAACTTTTGGCAAAAATCTTCTTAAGTGCCCAGCCTATGGGAGCATCACAGAGTCTACAGTTTTGCCTTCCAAAGAGACATGTGTTTTGTCATTTGCAGAAAACCTCACACTCCCAGTGATCTGCTGGCTCAATTTCGTTACCCAAATGACCCATTTACTGTGGAGACAGCAAGAGCAGGGGAAATTTTTGAACATACACTGCAGCTGATCCGGGACCGTGTGAAGCAGGGGCTGACGGTTGATCTGCAAGGCAGAGGTCAGTGTGGAGACCTTCTGTTCTAAGCATGCTCTCCACAGCACAGCACAACTGAACATCACTTTGGCAATGAATGTGAACTTTCCTCTCCAGAACATCCTATGACTTCAAAATTAATTTACTTACCACTTTAAGTAAATGTAGATTTTTCCTCATGGGAACTGTAATTCAAAAGTAAGGATGATAAATACATATGCAAACTTGTCTCAATGTTTGCCAATTATTTATATTGGACAAATGTAGGGGAACCATTTGGTGTGAACTTTTCAAATACAAATGATATTACATTTTATTTAGAGAAATATTTTAGTTCCTTTCACTTATCATGGTGATTACCTAAATCATTCTGTAAATTTATCTGAAATTGCTTCCGTCATCTGTAACTTTGATATCACACCCCCCCTTTTTTCTATTTTAAAGTTCTCTTGTATTTCTTTACAAAAAAGACACCTACTTTGTAAATGTCAAATGAGGTAGTATAAAATGCTTTCAGATTTTCTAAGTGTTTCTCTTTAAAATGAAACAAATGAACATGATACTTGGCTGTACACTATTTGCATTGAGTGTAGCAGCAACTCATATAGGACTACCCATTCTCTACTCTTCAGAAAATGGGACATGGAGCAAAAGGTCCATTTGTGTTCATGCCTCAACCCCTGAGTCTTCTGAGCAATCACTGCAAAGTACAATTGCCTGTGCTTAGTCTTCCATGTTTGTCTTGGGTTTTCAAAACTTCCCTAACCAACATGTTCAGTGAAATCTTCATATCAGGGCTTTAGTTAAATATATGATTACTTGAGTTTGAATCACACCAGGTATCAGTTAGCTCTGTCCCTGTCTTCAAAAAAGCCAATTCTATCTGTTTCTGCAGCTGCAAATAAAGGTGAGGCCCACAGTTATTTAGCCATCTTAGAGTTTGTCTATTCAATTATCTCTAGTAGAAAAAGGAATAACATTAGGAATAATATACTCTAAATTTGTAGCTAGAAGATTAGAAACAATAAAATAATTTTGTTTTGTTTTGTTTTTTGTATGTGTGTGTGGTGCTGGGGATTGAGCCCAGGACCTTGTGCATGGGAAACACACACTGCCAATTGAGCTAGATCGCCAGCCCCAAACAAGATTCATTTTGTTGATTCTAATAGTCAGCCATTGTTCATAAGATAGACATTACTGAAGTAATTCTAATTTTTGGAATTATCTTTGTTGTGTACCTATTTCCCAATCCTTTGTCCTATAGTGTTTAGTTGTTACAAGTAGGAAAGACTTCTACACACCCCGGGGTGGGAGGTTCCAACTGCACCAAGTTCTCTGCTCCCTTTTCCTGGGCTACTCTCATTGAGGTCACTGCTTGGGTTTCAGAATTCCGCTACAATGATTTGGTTTCCCCGCGCTACCTTGGCCTCATCGCCAATCTGTCCGGTTGCACGGCCCACAGACGTCTGCCTAACTGCTCTGACCTGTGCTTTCATCAGAAGTACCGGACCCACGACGCAACGTGCAACAACCTGCAGCACCCGACGTGGGGCGCGTCCCTGACAGCCTTGGTGCGTGTCCTGCAGCCTGCCTATGAGAATGGCTTCAATTCGCCCCGTGGGGCTGGCCGCCGCAATGGAGACGGCCGTTCTCCGCTCCCGCTGCCAAGGCTGGTTTCCACCGTGATGGCTGGCACAGCGGCGGTCACTCCAGACCACAGGTACACCCACATGCTTATGCAGTGGGGACAGTTTTTGGACCACGACTCGGATCATACAGTGCCTGCACTGAGCACCGCCCGCTTTTCCGATGGGCAGCCTTGCAGCTCCGCTTGCACGAATGACCCTCCTTGCTTCCCTATTACCATTCCACCAGAGGATCCCAGGGGCGCCCAAGCACCCTGCATGTTCTTTACACGCTCCAGCCCGGTGTGTGGCAGCGGCACGACCTCTTTGATGATGAATTCAGTCTATGCACGAGAGCAGATCAACCAGCTCACAGCCTACATTGATGCTTCCAATGTTTACGGGAGCTCAGAGCGGGAATCCCAGGTTCTCAGAGACCTCTCTGCACCCAAGGGACTGCTGAGGACGGGCTTGACTTGGTCCTCTTCTGGGAAGCACTTACTGCCCTTTTCTTCAGGCCCACCCACCGAATGCACTAGAGGTGAACAAGACAGCCACAGTAGCCCCTGTTTCCTGGCGGGGGACCACAGGGCTAATGAGCAGCTGGCTCTGACGGCTATGCACACCTTGTGGTTCCGGGAACACAACAGGGTGGCCACAGAGCTATCGGCCCTGAACCCCCACTGGGATGGAGACACCCTTTATCAGGAAGCCAGGAAGATTGTGGGTGCGGAACTGCAGCACATCACCTACAGCCACTGGCTGCCCAAGATTCTTGGGGACCCTGGCATGAAGATGCTGGGGGAGTACCAGGGGTATGATCCCCACGTGAATGCTGGGATCATTAACTCTTTTGCCACTGCAGCCTTTAGATTTGGCCACACATTAATCAATCCTATTCTTTACCGATTGAATGATACCTTCGGTGAAATTCCCGAAGGCCACCTCCCACTCCACAAAGCTTTCTTTTCGCCATCCAGAATAATCGAGGAAGGTGGGATAGATCCACTCCTTCGGGGGCTATTTGGAGTAGCCACTAAATTGCGGGTGCCCTCGCAACTTCTCAACCTGGAATTGACAGAGAAGTTGTTCTCCACTGCCCATTCTGTGGCCCTGGATTTAGCTGCCACCAACATTCAAAGGGGCCGGGATCATGGTATCCCTCCCTATGTGGACTACAGAGTTTTCTGTAATTTAACTTCTGTTGAGAACTTTGAGGATCTTCAGAATGAAATGAAAGATTTGGAGATAATACAAAAATTGAAAAAGTAAGTACACAAATGTTGCCTGGATTTTAAAAGGTTTGGGAGAGGTAGAAGAGTTGAAGGGCATTTTGTGCAGGTGGAATTGGGTTTCCCAGGGATGTCATTGCCAAACCATTAGTTAATTGTGGAAGAAATGTAATATTAAAGATAGGATTCTCCAGAGACTGAGATACCCTTTTTTGTTTCTTCATGTATCCACTGCCTTTGTAAATGCAAATATTGCTGCCTCTCATTAACTAGAGAGTACATCTTAATTATGAGAGGGGAGGAGGGCAAGTCTACAGTTCATTCATGTTCTGTAGTAATCCAAGCAAGACAATTTGGTTGATAAAAGGCCATAGAATTTGATGTCAATTGGCCCATTACATAGACCATCATAGCAAAGTAGAAAAAAATGAAAGCAAATTATTATTATTATTTTTTGTCAAAATCAAATCATTCTAAGCTTATCATTACAATATAATTTGGGTCTTTTTTTTTTTACTGTATCCTTTGTGTCTTTCGGAAAAGTAAATTCTTTTTATACATGATTCAAATTTTCTTTGAAGTTCCAAGTTTTAAATATTCCAGAAAATAGCTTCAGCTGTTCCTCAAACACCCCATCTTTTTGTCCCTTAAAATATGGTAAATAAATAAATGTTTCATCAAGAATCCTTGTTGATAGGCTAAATAGAGACTAATATTTACTAGTAGGTTAGGATATCTTAATGTGAAATCTTTCAGATATTTTGAAAATTGTGTTATGTAGCCAATTATCAATATTAGGACCATTTTGCATGATTAGGGAATTAGATATGTTAATGTCACTAGAGCGTGTACATATGTAGAATCGCAAACTGAAAATGTGTCACATATTTAAAGCACATCCAAGTATCATTCAGGTTGAATTTGCAAATTTCTAATTAGAAAGGACATTGATTTTGGATTCACAGAGACCTGGTTTAAATCTCTGTTCTGCTACTTGTTAGTCTCAAGGGCTTGTGGAAAGCATTTAAACAGTTTTTCAATCTCAGGATAAAATGAGAAAACAGTGGCTCCTTCTTATATTTGTTTAAGTATTAAATTATATAAAATACTGCAAATACCTAGTCCAGTTTCATCAAAGGCAATCAGTAAATGATAGCAGTAGACATTTTATTCTAACAGTATCATGTCAGCTGTCAGAATCATTATTGCAGTGCACACGAGCTGAGATCCAGGCCTGTGCTTAGTGCTGGCAAGAGATGAAGGTACCAGCATCCTTGCAGGGGAGAGCCTGACAGCATGCTGCAGATGCCGCCTGTTGTGATCAGCAGGCAAGGGCTTGATACGGGTGGGAAATGAATGCTACGGGAACATAGAGCTGAGAAATGGAAGGTATGGGGAAGGTTCACAGCAAGCTACTCATAAAAGATGCCATTTGATCTGGTCTTGGAATTTTTCTGAGCCTCAGATGGTAGATGATGAAGTGGGAAGAGTGGGCAATCTCTGGAAGGGGAGCTCAGAACTGGAAGGTGTGGTGTTGTGTGGCAGGAAAAGAGAATGGGAAGGAACAGGGGATTGGTTTTGTTGTTTCTGGTACAGCGGATGGAAACTGGAGCCTCACACATGGTAGACATGCCCTGGGCCACTGAGTTGCATCCCTAACCCATAGAAGAAATGTTGTTTTTCCTTTTTTTTTTTTTTTGTACTGGGGATTAAACCCAAGGCCTCTCTGCCACTGAGCTACCTCCCCATCCCATTGGGGATACTTTGTTTTTTCTCAGGACTGTAGATTAAATTCGGCGGTGTTCTACCAGTGACCTACATCCCCAGCCTCCTCCCCAGCCCACCCCCCTTCCTTCTTTTTTTGAGACAGGGTCTTGCCAAATTGTCAAGGTTGACCTCCAATTTGCGATCTCCTGCCTCAACCTTGGAGTAGCTGGGATAAAAGGCATGTGCCACTGCAGCTAGCACAGCTCCTTTCTGTTAGTTCCTTTGGGATCTTGGCCCTGCAACCCATTTGAACCTAAGCAGCCAGACATTATCTTTGCCTTAGGGAATGTATGAGACAGGTGAGCTCTGTGCCAGCTGAAGCAGAGCACCACTTATCAGCATGAATGGGTTTCTCCAGCTCAGGAGGGGTAGCCATTCTGCCTTCCCATAGGCTGCCTGTGGCCCCTGCCTTTCCCCTTTATTTTAATCAGCCCTTTCACCCCTGTGACCAAAAAGACCTGATGAGAACAATTAGAGGAGGGAAAGTTCATTTGGGGGTTCATGATTTCAGAGATGTTAGTCTATAGATGGCCGACTCTGCCGCTCTGGGCCCAAGGTGAGACAGGACATCATGGCAGAAGGGTGTGGTGGAGGAAAGCAGCTAAGGCCATAGTGACAGGAAGCAGAGAGAGAGTCCCCTTACCAAGGCCAAAGTATAAACCCAAAGCACATGCCCATTCACACTACCCCCCACCCTGTTTAGCTATACCCAACCTGCCTACAGTTAACACCCAGTTAATCCCTATCAGAGGATTAATGCACTGATTAGGTTAAAACTCTCATAACCTAATCGTTTCACCGCTAAATTTTCTTACATTGTCTCACACATAAGCTTTTGGGGGGACAACTAGTATCTAAACCATAAAACCCTTTGATTCATAGCATATTTGTAAAATGCCCATTTTTGATTCGTTTTACTGTGAGCACAAAATAATTACATTGGAATTGTTTTTAATAGCCCGATCTTCCAGCTCTGGGATTGTAACGTCTTAGGAGCTGAACTGTGCTGTTGAAGAGGGTCTGGCTTTCAATATCCCAATTTACATAGTTATTTCTTTATTCTCTCCTGTTACTTTTTTTTTCCTTTTGTATTAATTGACAAATGTACTTTTAGGAGTTTGTTTTGAAATGACTTTGGTCAGTTTGGGAAGTAGGTAGAACATTTGTGAATTGGCAAAATAAATACTGACATGTGGCATTAAAAGCTTTGTATTCTGTAGGAGTGATTTTAATTGCACATATCTGCAAGCACATGTTGCTTGTGTATGCAAGACAAAAAAAGTGTTTTTTTTTTATTTTTTATTGTTGATACTTTGCACATGGATTTGCTGCCAAGAGTTCTAACCTGTTTTGGCATAACTATGCCCACACTGAATCTTTCAGGATTACAAGGTTGTTCTAATAGGTGAAAAAGAATTTCCTACGTAGGCAATGGTGTGAAGATGGATTCCTTTTATATGTTTATTTAATTAACCAGCACATGTCAGTTGTACAATGAGCAATTTATTCGCAGCAATTTTTTACTTTATTTCTTCTAAAACATTGAATGTAGTTTTCACAGAATTTAAGTTATCTACATTTTTAAACAAATACTTCACTACTTTACATATTATTTAATTAAATGACATAAATGAAGTTCCAAATATAGTTGTGGTGAGCAAGTTTGTAAACTCTATGGAGTACGAACTGACAGTTCAAGAGGAGGAGACTGGTGCTTTGGGAGGTGTCAGTCCTTAGTTATCAGGAGGGGACTGCGCTGGTCAAGGAGAATTTTCATGAAAGGTGTTGTTTAAAATAGCTAGACACAGGTGGTTTACTATAGAATTCTGTGATAATTGAAAATTATTAAGATAAGGAGCTGGGGTTGTGGCTCAGTGATAGAGCGTTTACCTCGCATGTGTGAGGCACTGGGTTAAATTTTCAGCACCACATATAAATCAATGAATAAAATAAAAGTCCATAAACATCTAAAAAATATATTTTAAAACATTATTAGGATAAGCTGAAGGGTAATAGATGATACTATAAATTTCAGAGAAATCTGATAGAGTAATCTGTGGTAATAGCAAGATTTCTTAATATGTCCAAAGACCTGGGCTCTTTCTGTTCAAATTAATTTGCATGATATTGGATGAATTAAATGGATTTTCTTGTTTCTTCCTTCCTAAACTGAGGATGTTTCACTAAAAAATCCCTAAGGTCCTTATAAATCTAAGCATTCTAAGGTAATTATGTAATTATTTAGGTAATTATGTAACAGTGGTCCACTTTATGCTTTGAATATAACCCTTCCTGCTCTGCCACCGCAACTTATTTTTATTTTTTATTTTTTTTAATATTTATTTTTTAGTATTTGAGGACAAGGACTGAGCTTTTGGCAACAATTACTTGCAGAGTGATGGGTTAAAATGATATTAAAAAGATACTCTTTCAATAATAAATTGTAATCCACAACTAATAACATCTGAATGTTCCAGGAACACTTCCCTGACCTTAAAGGTCTACAGAGCTAATGGTTTCCTTTTACTTCACTTAATTTTAAAGCCTTCTGTAAATTTGTCACCCAGAAGTAAAATCTATTTTTTCTTGTCACCTTCTGTCCGAACCCTCACATTGGATCTCTTTGATATTTTTAAAGTCAGAGCCACACATGGAAGTCTGTGCTCAATCTTTTCTCAAATGACCATCTGGGTCTGGCCAGAGCAGCATGTCATCTGTCACCGGAATGTCACATGGGAATGGCTTTGTGATCATCCTTCAGTGAGGCTGGCCGTGTTCTGGGGGTTCACCTGAAAGGGCTCACGGCTCAGGACAGGGGACTCACCGACCTCAGAAGGATTTCTTCAATAAGATGCCACGTGTCTTAGTCCATTTTGGCTGCTATAACAAAATTATATGAGACTGAGTAATTTTATAAAAGCATGTTGCTGAAAGCTCAGTCCTTGTCCCCGATGCCAATCCAATGAGGACATAATTTTGAGAAAAAAGGAAAAAGAATGTTTATTGCTTTTCTAGCAAAGGAGAAACACAGGGGACTCCTGTCCCAAAGCCTGTGATTCTGCCCATCCGCAGGAGCAGGAGGTTTTTAAAGAAGGTGACTCAAAGGCTACATTCCACCTGTTCTCTGTTGGAGTTGTAATTCACTTGTTAATTTGGGAGAGAGTCATTTCTGAGATCTTCTGGTACCATCCCCAAAGTCTGGATTACTTTGTTCCAGTGGTGGGTGTGTACTCAAGACAGATAACTCAAGACAGATAACTTCCCTTGGA